TATCTCAAGTTGTACACGCTTTGGCTCATCATTACTAGGTAATCTCTTTCACTTGCAATTTTATTTAATTCTCCACAAAATGAGATTAGTACTTAAAATAATATGCATTATAAAAATATAAAAACAAACATATGAAAACACTTACATAAAAATATAAAGCTTATTATATTGTGAGTATACGAGTCGCATTGTGAATATACTATAACTGCCTCTTACATAATTTTATATAATGTAGGCACATTTTAAAGATAGTCGGATTTCATCTACGTAAGTGTTAGTTTGCTTACAATCTTAGGAAAAATGAATCACGATTACCCTGACACATCAAATTTGAGACATGTACAACAACAAAATCGTGAACGCCGTCGTTTATACCTACAACAGAGGAGGCAACGCTCAGCTTCGGAACCAAATGCTCAAACTGAACAACCACAAAAAGAATTCGAACAGTTACGCCTTCAAAACTTAAGCACTGAACAACGCTCAGCAAGATTGGAGCAACGTCGTCTTGCTCAGCGCAGGCGAAGATTGTTTATTCGTGAAGAAAGTGCGACCTCTAATGTGCAACAAAGGGAAATTCAAAGGGAAAGTTGGCGTAATTATGCTAGACAAAGGAGGGCTGCTTTGACTATTGAACAACACGAACAACAACTTGCAAGACGACGAACAAATTATCGACAAAGAACGCAAATATCTGAAAATATCGAACAAACTTCTCATCCAAATCAAGTACATAATATGACGAATGCACAAACAAGTAGTAAGTATTCAAATGTTATAAACATTTTTTTTTTGTAAGCATTTACACTTTTGACATTAATATTCATTTAATTTATTATTTATAATTTTAACTGCTAGGATGCATGTTAAACTTTTTCGATGCAATCCCAAGAAGAAATAGAACAGGATGGCGTAGGCCGCGAGCAACAGTTTTGCCAACCATTCACGAAGAAGGCAATTTGGTTGCTACTAATGTTTTTAGACGGGAAAGTAGAATGACTGCACTCGCACGTATCGACTTACCCCGATATGCACCTACTCATTCGACGTATGAGCATGGAAGCACAAGTGGCAACAGACAAGATCTTCATGAAGTTCAGATGGAAGGTACAAATAATTTATTTAGTTTAAGTACTTTTTACAAAATAAACAACCTTTATAATAAATGTAAAAAATATGATCATGCAAATATGATATGCAGTACAATTACATTTAATATTCAACATGAAACTCAAACACTTTCAAATAAATACTACTGTGTTAATAATAAACCCATACATTATACATGTATTGTTATAGGAAATATCCCTCACGTCGACCACAATCAGGATGCTTTCAGTGATGAAGATATTCCAGATAATCGATCATTTATCCATAGGAGCTATCATAATTGTGCAAGAAATTTTCATGAAAGTGAAAGGTTCCAAAGAATGCAGTTCCCTGCTCCAACTACATGTAGACATTGCAACGCAAGATTGTTCCACCGTGAAACATCTACCATGTGTTGTAATAATGGAACAATTATTTTGCCACCAGTAACAGCTCCAAATGAGATGATTGGTATTTTCTCTGACCAAACAGTGGAAGGTCGTCATTTCAGACAAAATATTCGAGCCTACAATCATGTTTTCTCATTCACTTCAATGGGTGTTCATGTTGATGAAAACTTAGCAACAAGAACTCGAGGTGTGTACACGTTTCGTGCACAAGGAGCCATATATCATAAGATTGGGAGTCTCTTACCAAATTCTAGCGACAGACCGAGATATTTGCAACTGTATGTTTATGACACTGACCACGAGAATGAGAATCAAATGTCTGAAAATGAAGAATTGCACTTGGATTTGCTTGACAAGATAAAGAATATTTTAAATACTCATAATCCATTTGTACACACGTTCCGCCAATTGGCTCAGCGTCTAGACATACATGAATGCAGACTTCAAATCAAAGAGCAACCACGTAATAGGCCCCAATACAACCTTCCTACTGCTCCTGAAGTTGCTGCAGTTTTAGTAGGTGGCGAAGAAGCTGGAAATTTAAAACCAAGAGATATCATTGTCCAATCAACCAGTGGTCACCTCCTAAATATTTCTGATATTGTTGGATACTATGATCCATTACAGTATCCTCTGTTGTTACCCTACGGTTCATATGGATAGGATGTAAATACCAGAAGTAATGATGGCAGAAAAGTAACATGTTGTGATTTCTATTCTTATATGCTATAGGTAACGACGTATACATAATATTAAAAAATTACTTCGTCGAAGTTATTCAATCTATAACTATTTCGTATAAAATCTTTACTTTTAATTATTTATAAGTATTGAAATACTATCAATTCAGATTCGCCCTGGTGATCAATCTCTTTTTCTTCGAGGAGGTCGTCTCTTACAGCAGTATGTTGTAGATAATTGCGTGAAGATTGAGTCCAACAAATTAAGATGGATACGTACTCATCAGAATCACATTCGAGCAGATTTTTATCAAGGTCTTCTAGATGCAATACATGCTGGTGAAAATTATGGAGGTACAAATTGTCATGTACGATATTACAATTACATGTACGCATGTTTGTTTATATTCATACATACAATTTCTTTTTTCCTTTTGTGAAATATTTGTTTAGGTAATGTTGGTCATAGAACAATATTTCCATCGTCATTTGTTGGTAGCCCACGAGACATGTATCAGCGATATCAAGATGCAATGGCTCTGGTCCAAAAGTATGGAAAACCTGATCTTACCTGCAATCCAAATTGGCCTGAAATTAAAGCTGAGTTGCTACCTGGACAGTCACCACATGATCGTCCTGATTTGCTAACAAGAATATTTAATTCAAAATTTGATGAGATGAAGACCGACATTCTTACAAAACATGTACTCGGGAAGGTTCTGGCGTATGCATATGTTATTGAGTACCAGAAAAGAGGCTTACCACATGCCCACATGGTCATTATTTTGGATGAAAATGATAAGTTACGCACTCCTAACGATTATGATAACATTGTCAGAGCTGAAATTCCAGACAAGAGATTAGAGCCTAGATTATACAGTGCAGTTCTGAAACACATGATACATGGCCCATGTGGAATGTACAATGAACGGTCCCCGTGTATGACAAATGGTCGGTGCAAAAGACGTTTCCCAAAGCCATTTTCTTCAATTACTACACTTGGAAACGATTCATATCCTATTTATCGAAGAAGAGAAGGGGAGTCAGTTCCTTTAGAGAGTAATCCAAGCATCTTGGTGGATAATAGTTGGGTCATTCCATACAACCCATGGTTGCTCTTGAAATATGATTGTCATATCAATCTTGAAATTTGCAGTAGTGTTACAAGTGTGAAGTATTTATACAAATATGTTTATAAAGGGCCTGACCGTGTTGCACTAGAAGTTCGTCAAGGTCCTAATTATGACGAAGTACAACAGTTCATAGATGGAAGATGGGTTTGTGCTCCAAAAGCATTATGCAAAGTATTCAAATTCCTAATGACCAAAATGACCTCTAGTGTAAAATGCCTCCAAATACACTTACCAAATAAGCATCAAGTGAGATTTTATACATTTCAAGACATCACAAATGTTTTAGGAGATGAGTATTATTCCAGAACAATGCTTACCCAATTCTTTCAATTAAATGTTGATGATGAAACTGCAAATCGATACTTATATCGAGAGATACCGCAACACTATAGATAGTGCAATAGCGCAAAGATATGGCAGTTGAGATTGAACCATCAAAGAGTAATTGGGAGAATTTATACAGTTTCGCCATCAGAAGGGGAGAGATTTTACTTGAGAATTTTACTCAATCATATCCGAGGACCAAA